GCTTAATGAGTTCATTGCGTGGCACCTATTTATTTAAGGGGTTATATACAGTTGTGATAAATGAAAAAATCGATTTTTTTTATTACATATTCTTTAAGTATATACTGTTGAGAATACTCTCACAAAAATTCGATCGGAACATTAGAACCGAATTTGTAGCTATTTATAGCGCACTACCTGCACATCAAACTTAAACAAACTTGAAACTTAAAACGCTTATTTATTATGATATTAGCTAGTCCGTGAACGAAGGATTTTCAATTTTTTTGAAAACTCATTTTTTAGACCATAAATATCAAAAATCTTATACCTTGAAAAAGTACATTTTTTGTTAAAACCGTCGCCATTTGTTATACCCTTGCAGAGGGTATTATAATTTTGTCCAAAAGTGTGCAACGCAGTGAAGGAGACATCTCCGACCCTATAAAGTATATATATTCTTGATCAGGATCACCTCCTGAGTTGATATGAGCATGTCCGTCTGTCCGTCTGTCTGTCCGTTTCTACGCGAACTAGTCTCTGTTTTAAAGCTATCGTCTTGAAACTTTGCACACACCCTTCTTTCCTTTGCACGCAGTATATAAGTCGGAACGGCCGGGATCGGCTGACTATATCCTATAGCTGCCATATAACTGATTGATCGGAAAAGGTATAACTTTGGTGTTTTTAGAGTTAGAGTTAGTTCAAATTTGACACGAAAGCTATTGTTGGCAAAGCATTACGACATGCCAAATTTCATAAGGATCGGCCGACTATATCTTATAGCTGCCATATAACTGAACGATCGGAAATGACCCAACTTTCGTGTTTTTGAAGATAGAAAGCTGAAACTTAATACAGATTCTATTTTTGGCCAGTTGATCCAACCTACCAAATTTCATTAGGATCGGCCGACTATATTCTATAGCTGCCATATAACTGAACGATCGGAAATGGTACTTGGTAGAAATATCAACTTTCGTATTTTTGATGATAGAAGTTTGGGACTTTTTTTAGATTTTTTATTTTAGGTAATTAGTTTTATTATGATGTAATCATAAGGATCGGCCAACTACATCTGATGTTTGCGATATATATTCGGTTTTAGCTGCAAGGGTATATAAACTTCGGCTCCGCCCGAAGTTAGCTTTCCTTTCTTGTTTTTTAATCAAATATTTTACAAATCCTTCGTTCATGGACTAGGCAATACAATATACTAACGACATTTTTTTTGAATTTTTGATTTCAGATGAACCGTTTTTGAGATATGATGTTCACCGCAAGACACCATAAAAAAAAAAAAAATCTTGAAATTCGGCTACACTAATCTACACTTTTATTATTTTTTGTTATTATTTATTATTATTATTTATTATTATTTTTAATTTAAATAAGTGAAAAAATGTAAATAAGTACCCAGAAACATGTACTAAGCAACGTCGGTAAAACATTTTTAGTAAGTATTTTCTATGGTGTCAAAAAAAATCGATTTAATTTCATTTATTTGCGCGGTACAACTGTATATAACCCCTTAAAACAGTGCACTTTTTTTGGTTTAGCACATCACAGCTGTTATAAAAAGCTTGTCTATTGCTTTTCATAAATTGTGGTTCAGCGTCTTTTCGATTATATTGGGTGATCCCAGTTTTTTTTTTGTTTGTTTGGCTGTTTTATGCTGCAAATTTCCCGGAGCTTGGGTAAAGCACGTCCGCTCAGTTCGGTAGTTCGATGAAGTTCAATGAAGGGAGTTCGGTAGTTTCGCGCCAATCCAAGGATAGCTTCTGCTTCTTCCAACATTTTTTCTTGTGCAATATAGGTTTGTATCACTATTTCTGCGTTTTCCGTTCATTTACCGTAGGTCTGGTCTCCATTATTGTTGCGATAATTATCAAGATAATTATCAATTATCAGGACGAAATGAGATGGTCCATGAGACAGACTTAGATCGGATTTTAAGATTCGATCACTGATTTTGGATAAATCCGATGTTAGTGATCCACTTTAGCCTGGTCAGAGAATAATTCGCCGCTCGAATTAATCAGTACAAATGAGCAATTATCCGCAACGTCTTCCGTGACATAGGGTAAATCACCGAACTGAACACCGGTACTGACTTATGTTGCAGTCTTCGTACCTGCGACACAAAACCCACTACAGATGATTCCCCCATCGACACATATAATATATTTGTTTCTCGGTTTGCGCCTGAAACGACAGATTTTGGTAATTTACAATTTATTTTCATGAAAATCATTTTGTCCGGTAAATGGTTATATATGACCTGTTCATATATACCTTCTTCGTCTGAACCGCCCAATTGATTGTGGCCAGCTTGTAGCTGTGGGTGACTTTAATGTCCCACAACTAAAGTGGTGACTTCACCGCGGGCATGTTTTACATGCCCTTAGGCCAAATTAAACAGATTAGAAACTCGCCAGGTCGGTTTTTAAACTTATGTTTTGTATCTGAAACTTAGGATACCACACTCTTCAGAACTTTGCCCCTTTCAACCCCAGAGGATCCATATCCCCCACGCTTGAGGTTTCAATTGAAACTATTTCTTGTATCGATCAGAAGTCTCCTTGCGAGCAAATAAGATTCGCTGTGTCCGTTAGGATGATATTCACAATTTTAATCGATACTATCGATATCATACATTTGATTGCTTCGATATTCTTGCATGCACCGAAATAAATGTCACTTTAGAAAAATTGACGCTCTTTCAATAATAATTGCGAAAATGCTCTCACAATAAAAGTAAGAAAAATACCGATTGTCCAAAAAACTCAACGTGAACGGTCTTCACATTTTTTTCCATATATTGTTATGGTGAAAAGTACACTTATTTATTCAAGTCTCTTCCCATTTTACACAACAAATTTCACAACTTCACGTGTGTAAAACAGACGCTTAACGATTACCTTGCCTATGCGTGTGAATGTAGAGAACCGGTCCGGGCGGTAAAATTTTTCAACTCCATGGGTTGGGTTGGGTGTTTGGGCACCTCTGATGTATACCAATACATACGCAAAAGACCTTTTGCTTCACTGAGCGGTCTTGGAACAACCAGAACAAAAAAGAATAGACTAAAACAGTTTCGCTTTGAGCGCGAGCGAGCTCATTCAAGCAGCCATAAACCGGTTGCTCTCTGTGTCTTTTCGTCAAAAGTCAGAAAAACACACTTATTTGCAAGCTCAGTTTTTGATTATTATTTTTACTTCTCTACTAATAATAACTTCTTTGTAATAATTCTCTAATTTCTCTAATAATTCAAAAATTTTCATTCTCACTGAAGAATTCTTTCCAAATCGTTTTTGCTCGTCAAACATATTTTTCGATCTGAGTACTAGGACTTAAGGCAGTGATCGGGACCCAATACATTCATATGATTTTAACGCATTAGTATTAGTAACGAGTAAATGAAAGTAGCCTGCAAGCATGACATTTCACACATTTATACTGTGTGTGTGTGGCAGACCTCTGGCAGAGAAATTTCCTGTGCACGCGTGATAGGGCCGTGCCGACCACTGCTTTAAGGGGAAACTAGTTTAGATGGTTTAAAATCTCGATTTTTTAAGAATATGTTCCTTAAGTCTCAAAACGAAATTCCAATTAGTTTTGATGATATAAGCACTCAGATTCCGAAGTGCTGAGGCGCGCGGTCGTGCCTTACTTGACAGCCCTAACTTAAAAAAAAATAAATGCTTTCACTAACAAAAATGTTCTCAGAAATTTGGGAGGAATATGTTTTCTCCATAGAAAATATATGTAAGGAAGTGAAGAATGGACACTATTTAAGAGCAATAGAGGTGCAAAAACATCGATGTATGGAGACATCGATGTTTTTCGATGTTTTTCCCGAAACATCGATGAAACATCGATGTTTTTAAAAATTAAAAAAATATTTTTTAAATAAGTTAAATAGATAAATAGACATACGGTTGTAATAAAATTTTAAAATTTAAAATTAAAATTTTTAAATTTTTAAAATTTTTAAATTTAAAATTTAAAATTTACGTACCTTTTCTTTGCTTGTTCTCTTGATAGTGACGGCACAAAAACATCGATGGTCAAAAAAAACATCGATGTTTTGGAAAATTCAAAAAACATCGATGCATCGATGTTTTCATCGATGTTTTTTGCACCTCTAAAGAACAAGCCATATTTAATGAGAATTAAGGCGGGATATTGCGCCAATTTCAATAAAAATTATTCTTACATTACAAGTTTATACCCCAATAGATTTAAAAACAACAAAGAACTACTCTGATAAAAAAAATATCTATTTAAATCAGTTACATACAACATTGTTAATTTTCCAATTTCAATAAATTTGACGGAATGACTGTATAACGTAACTAGAAAATATTCGTTCACACTAAGTACAGAGAAAAGATGCCTTTGCTCGTCAAACTTGTTTCTCGAGCTGAGGCTTAAGTTGGTAGAATCATGATAAAATTATACTATAATTGTATAATTAATAATACATTAATACATTATATTAATTACAATTGTATCATGGGTAGAATACACAGCACTAGCCGATATATCGATATGAAATTGAAAATGTAACCAGGGGGAATACTAGAATTTTAAAAACCTGTTCAATTAAAAAGGGTAGAAACACTGCATTATCTTACGAATGCATTCATATATCAAGGAAATTTCCGTTATTTCTTAATAATTCGAAAATGCAGAAAACGTCATTTACGAACTTAGAATCAAAACTCTAAATACGCTTATCGTAATAAATCGAGCATGTAATAAAAGTTCACACAGGACCCCATTTTTCTCATGGGTCCCAGCTCTTCCGATCAAATGTTATCGCATGATGGATGGGCTCAGTGAAATTTTCTGCTTCACATATGTATTTATGTAAAATATTTCACTGTAATCGCTTAGTGTGCAGAGTTATAATAGTAAATATAATAAAAAACATAAAAAAGTTACCAGTTTCAACTTTCCCACATTGTTGTTAACTAGGCGACGCTACTTTGACGAATACTACGTTACGTATGTATGTATATTTACGTCACTCTTCCTTTCTATCCCTGTTCATTCCTGAACTGTGATAATGAATTGGTTTCGAACTTTGGACTGTTCCAAATAAATAAAAGCCAAGGAACAGGAAGTAACTTAATATAAAAAAAAAAAAAAAATAAAAGCCAATTTATATAAAGAAAAAACGAAAGAAATATTTACTGTCTTTTTTTAGTAACATTGTTTAAAGACTATTATTGTATGTATGTTACACCAACTAATCATTAAGTGCCGCTGGATTTAAAACATTTTTACTTACAGAAAACATGGCGACGGTAGAGAAGTTATCCACTGAAAGAAAGGCAAACCCCGCCAAGTCTTTTATAACTGGTGGCTTTGGCGGAATTTGTAATGTTTTGTCGGGCCATCCCTTAGACACAATCAAGGTACGTTTGCAGACTATGCCACGACCGGCTCCTGGAGAACAGCCCATGTACAAAGGTACCTTCGACTGTGCTGCAAAGACTATTAAAAATGAAGGAGTGCGTGGCTTATACAAAGGAATGTCTGCACCTTTAACGGGTGTAGCACCAATATTTGCAATGTGCTTTGCTGGCTACGCACTAGGTAAACGACTTCAGCAACGAGGCGAGGATGCCAAACTCACGTATCCTCAAATTTTTGTCGCGGGCTCATTCTCTGGACTCTTTTCTACTCTCATCATGGCTCCTGGGGAGCGTATAAAAGTGCTTTTGCAAACTCAGCAGGGACAAGGAGGTCAGCGCAAATATAACGGAATGATCGACTGTGCCGTAAAGTTATATAAAGAGGGAGGCATTCGTAGCGTTTTTAAAGGAAGCTGCGCTACAATGCTTAGAGGTAAGTTTTTTTTTAAATTTTATTTGTTAAAACTACATAACTACAAAAAATAAATTTAAAGTCCTTGATTAACTTTATGTATTATTCAGCACTTTGGCTGCTTTTCCATGATTGCTAATGTTTCATTTTGCATTCTATTCGTGGTAACCGTTTTCCTCGACTTTTCTTGTGATACCACTTTTCGCCAATATGGCAAAGTTTTTTTGTCAATCTTATTAGGGTTAGTGTTTGTGTGGTTGCTTAGAGTCCTACATTGAAGATACCTTCGTAGGACGTAGTAGACACTACGACCATTGTAGTTGGAGCAACGAGGGACAAGAGTTTTGTCCATTTCATAGACTTTTACACTCTTGCATATGTTACTGTGTTTTATAATTCCTTTTGAGCAGGATTTAGAAGTAGGGTTATGCACAACATTAGTTAAGCGATATACCCAGTTTCTCATCTGACAAGTACATTGCCAAGGATTCTGATCAAGGCGGACCACCAGAACTGCTGGCAACATAAAAAAACTTGTTGGCAAAGATTTCAGAAGGTTTCCTTGTAATTGAACCACTTCAAGCTCTTTTTGGTCATCTAGCAGACCAGGGGGAACACTAGTTAATTGATTGTAGCTTAAGTTGAGCATTTGCAAGCGCCTTGCACCTATTAAGGCGTCCATAGATAATTCCTCTATCATACAGTGACTTATATCGAGCTCCCTTAGCTTTTCCATTTCAGCGAAAACATCGAACTGTATTCTAATTATTCTTCCATGCATTGTGAGAACTTCCAAGCCATAAAGACCCTAAAAAGTATATGTTTAAAATAATTATATATAATAATAATAAATAATTACAAAAAAATGGAATGCATACTTTAAATACACCCTGCTCTAATGATTCAGCGGAAACATTACGAAGTACCAGAGTTTTTAGCTTCTGAAGTGAGTCAAACTGTCCGAAAAAATTCCATGTTTGCAGATGAAGGGCCGCTCTAACGCTCCCTAATTGAATTTCTTTTGTATCATTCATAACCCAAAAAGTTGCTGGAATGATGGTCTCAATTGGATTGCTCCGCAAGTCAATTATTTGCAACATGGGTAAGGGTGGAAAACTTACTTCGTTTAAACCAACCAGCAAGTTATCCGACAACTGCAGATTTTCAAGCTCTAGCAGACCGGCTAAACCCAAGTAATGTAGTCTTCGTATCATATTATGGGCTAATGAAATACTCTTAAGATTTTGGGCACCCGAAAAGGCAAACGGTGGAAGCTCTTTGATGCCATTTCCCTCCAGGCTCAGGTGCATCAATTGAGCCATCCCATCAAACATTTGCCAGTGCAGGTCTTCTAGATGGCATTTATGAATCCGCAAGGTTTTTAGACGACTCCATCCATAGAAGCTTATCATTTGGACCTGCTTTTGACGCTGTACATGTTGGTCGTATACTAAAACCTGTGCAGCACTTTTTTCAATATTAAATGCATTCTTAATAGAATTATATTCACTTCGTGAAAATATTTCTATTTGAGGTTTGTATTCATATTTTTGGTTTGGAAGTTTAGCGAAGTTAGGAAGTATCAAAGATTCACCAGCTTTCAACTGTATATCCTCAAAATAAGCATGTAGGAGATGTTCAAGAGGCTCATCAATAAAAAAGGTGGCTCCAATTCCTCGAAATTCTAATGATTTCAAATGGTTAAGATGTAGGAAGCTGCTGGAATTCACTGTTGTGTGATTAAAAAATCGTATGTGTAGTACAGTAATGGAAATACTAAACTCACCTGCCAGTTTTTGTTTTTTTTTCCCCGTGTATAATAAAATCAAAGCTTGTAAATCCCATGGAAGTGCATCTAATAGTTTCTGAACCTCCCGCTGCGTCTGCAACAGGCATGTTACCAGCTTTGTTTGATCAAAAATCAAAGTGTCATCTTTTCCATGTTCTACCCACCGTCCAATTGGTAAATTCTTTAAATAATCAAGTTGGCAGACGCAATTGCGGGGGCAGTCAACAAGTTCAAAATGTGGGTTTAATTTGCCCAGAATCCTCAACGGCCATGCAAATTCCCAGACAAACTAAATTGAACACAATAAAAATCATCTTTTATATCAGTATGTTTATTTTAGAGCAGTGGTGCCTTAAACCCCATTCCACGAAGTTGGAAATTTCTCTCCCCTGCCTCTACCTGCACACCGACACCGTCAACACTGTAAAACGACTTTAAAGTGTTTTTACGGGAGAATTCTACGTATTCAAACACAAAGGAAAGTCTAACATGCAAATATGTATTTATGTGGCCACAATTGGATTAAAGTTATTTTGATGTATGTAGCTGCCATTTTACATATTGATCGGAATGGGCATAACTTTGGGGTTTTTCAAGTTATATGTATGTTATGAATATGACTTTCTAAGGGATGAGCTAACATATTCGACCTACCGAATTTCATCAGATGAAATAAATCCGACTATAGCTTTCATATAACATACTGATTGATCGGAAATGTCATGGCTTTGGTTTTTTTATACCCGGTATTTGTAGAGTTCAAGGGTATATTGTATTTATGTGAATGTATGTAACATGGAAAAGAATTTCCTCCGGTTCACTTTGGCCGCCAACTAACACTTTTCTTTTTTAATTGCTATAACGAAATGTATTTTTTGCAGGGCTTTTGCATCACTGAATTAAAATAAGATAGGACAGCTATAGTCAAGTTTCACGACTATATTATACCCTATATTTCCACCCACAGTTTAACTTACCTTTGTAGTTTAAACTTTAAAGGAATGGATTCTCAGAACTAAATTTTTATTGCATACTTTTGTGCTAGACACTACAGACAGACTACGGACAGACGTATATGTTGACCATTAATATACATATGTACATATATACTTTAGGGGAGATCATACTCTAAAAGTACCGGGTATAAAAACCCGGTTATCGAAAACGCCGGATACATTCTATATCTAATAGATATTATCTACCATATATTGGAACGATCGGGTATGTCATCATTTTTGTGTGTACGAGGATAAAAGCTTGGTATTTTTCCAAATTCATATTATTAGAAATCGATCGGATAATGAAATTTCCATTTTCTTTCGTTTAATTTTTCAAAATTAAATATTCATATTTTATTGTTATTTTTTAATTAAAAAACGAATATATAATCGTACAATATGTTTTTATCGTAGCTCGCAATTAACTGTTGTTATTTTTATTAATATTTGTTTTTTACTTTTGTTTAGTTTATGAGAATTTAGAATTAGAATTTTATTTATTTAGAATTTTTACAATCACTCTCTCTTAGAGCAGAGTGATTATTTTTATTTTTTATTTTTGTACCCTTGCTGAGGGTCCAAAACTTTGGAACCCAGTGATGGAGACATCTCCGACCCTATAAAGTATATATATTCTTGATCAGGATCACCTCCTGAGTTGATATGACCATGTCTGTCTGTCCGTCTGTCTGTTTCTACGCGAACTAGACTCTCAGTTTAAAAGCTATCGACTTGTTACTTTGCACACACCCTTCTTTCCTTTAAACGCAGTATGCAGTACTATATCCTATAGCTGCCATATAACTGATTGATCGGAAATGGTATAACTTTGGTGTTTTTGGATTTGGAGTTTTTGGAGGTTTAAATTTTACATGAGAGCTATTTTTGGCAAAACATTACGACATGCCAAATTTCATAAGGATCGGCCGACTATATCCTATAGCTGCCATATAACTGAACGATCGGAAATGACCCAACATGCGTGTTTTTGAAGATAGATAGTTAGCTTTCCTTTCTTGTTTTGTATTATTTTTATTTAAAGTTCAGCCTAACAACTTATAAACAGTTAAGGTTTTGGGTATTTATTAGACTCTGTCGTTCGCTTAGTTTAAATTTTGGGTATTTATTAAATCCCGTCGTTCGCTAAGAATATATTGTAAAGCTGAAAATGCTCTCTCAACAGATACTTGAGTAGTCGGGATGAGCAAGACTACATGTGGACGCGCACTCAAGATTGGCGATTTTAGCCTTAAATTTGTATAAAAATTTAGTATATCGTCGTTTTATGGTAGACGACGATACATTTTGTCAAAATTTTAATTTTGTTTATTTCCCGTTTGTTTTAATTGCCATTTTTGTTTTAAACATTTTCTCTGAATAACCAAATGTCACAAAGCAAAAGAAAGAAGACCCACTAACTTTCACATACAAACATACATTCAAAAAAGAACTTTGGAATCGTCTCACAAAGTCAAACGGTCGTGGAAAGAACAGAACATATGGAAACAGAAATTATTGCTCGTCATTTGAGCGAGAGCAATATTTGTATATGAGCAAAGCAAACGATTGCTCAAAGACTCATTGAACAACACTTATTTTGAGTCCCCAGCAATCGGTTAATAGTTATTTGCGAGCTATGGTTTGTGGTTATACAATTTTCTTTAATTTTTTATTTAGAGATCCCCATTTTTTTTAGATTCCCATTTATTACACTATTATTTTAAAACTGGTCGAAATTTTGTAAGCTTGATATTTAACTCTGGGAGTATTTTAGCTCATACTAAGTTTTAGTTACCATTAGAATGATGGCCAGAGTTCTGTGTTTAATTTTAAAGTTTATAAATTTCCCGCTGTTAACGATCATACTTTTTTCTGCGTGACGATACAGTCAAATGAATTTAACGAACTGAGACAGTATCGCCCCAATTCTACTATGAAAAAATTTGTGAAAGATTCAGACAGCGTCTATTAAAATTTTTTTTATATTCTTCATTTAGTTGTATATAAAAGGAAGTGCTCGATAACAACATCCTCCTAGATAAGAAATACAAACATTTTTCAAATTTATGTGTACAATGCACACTTATATATATGTATACTTACTGATCCAAGTTCGCATGAACTAAAATAAAGAAAAACAGAAAGGATAGCTAACTTTGGGCGGAGTCGAATTTGATATTCCCCTGCAATTAAGTGGCAGTATCAGATCGGATATATAATATATTGCGAAAGTATGTAAAATGTATTTGAACGATGATTTTGAGAGATACATTATAATAATAATTTTTACAATGAATGTTTATTATAAGGAAAATATTAACTAAAATCCCAAGCTTCTATCTCCAAAAATACAAAGTTGGGTCATTTAATGGGACCCCCCACATTCTCGGTTTAAAAAAATCTATTTTTTTTTTAAATTTAATTCGAACTTATAACTATTCAAGAATGTTCAAGAACTCTTGAAGATATAGCCTTAAAACATATAAAGTCATAAAACTATAAACGCGTTTTTCTCGAAACAGTGTTTTTACAACTAGTTTATGTGTTTTTACCAGGGACCGTAATTTTTATAATTAAAAAAAAAAAAAATTAAAAAATAATAATTGTTTGTTGATTTTTATGACAAAAATTGAAATATAACTCTTTCTTTGAATTTTTATAATAATAATTAAGAATAAGAATTATTTTTCAATTTTTATTAAAAAAAAAAAAAATAAAAATTATGATTCAACTTTTATTAAAAAAATTGAAAATAAGTGTTATGATTCAATTTTTATTATAAAAATTGAAAATAAAAATTGAAAATAAAAATTGAATGCGAATAACTTCTGAACCGAGTGGACTATTAAAAAACCGCTTACATATTTATGATCTGCGGCGCAGTACCTTTCAAATGATGTATCGAAAGGACAAATGTCCTCAAAGGACATAATCAAGGATTCTTCAATTATTCGATGCATCATTCGAAAGGTACTGCGTCACAGATCATAAATATGTAAGCGGTTTTTTAATAGTCCACTCGGTTCAGAAGTTATTCGCATTCAATTTTTATTTTCAATTTTTATAATAAAAATTGAATCATAACACTTATTTTCAATTTTTTTAATAAAAATTGAATCATAATTTTTATTTTTTTTTTTAAATAAAAATAAGTTGAAAAATAATTCTTATTCTTAATTATTATTATAAAAATTGAAAATAAGAGTTATATTTCAATTTTAGCAATAGAAATTGAAATAAAAGTTTATTGTGTTTCTGGATTCCCTGGAGTCTTTCTCCCACTCCCCACAAAGGCTTTTTTGTCGTTCAATTTTTTTGAACTCATAAGTCTTATTTGCAGTCCCTGGTTTTTACGACAAAAATTTATTTAAATTTAAAGGTCCGCCAATTTGTTAATTTTTATGCGAAATTAATAATTCTAGTTCATACCAGAGCCAAACATGTACTCATTCTAATCCCGTTGGAATTTTTGGTTTCGGATGTTCGGAAAAATCACATGCGCCGCCGAAACGAAGGGCTTTTGTTTGATCACAAAAAAAAAAACAACACAAACTATGTAAAATTTGTTTCTTTCCTTTTATGTCTTCAAATAAATGTATGCAAAGTTACAACCCTAAAAACTAATTTCTGTTCATTTGAAAGTCGAAATGAAAGTCGGGTTTGGCAAGATTTAGCAAAATAAAAAAATCTGCGAATTGGAATGGAATATTTTAATGCAATAAACTCCCAATTAAACATCTCCATTAGTTTTTATACCCTTGCAGAGGGTATTATAATTTTGGTCAAAAGTGTGCAACGCAGTGAAGGAGACATCTCAGACCCTATAAAGTATATATATTCTTGATCAGGATCACCTCCTGAGTTGATATGAGGATGTCCGTCTGTCCGTCTGTCTGTCCGTCTGTCTGTCCGTCTGTCTGTCCGTCTGTCTGTTTCTACGCAAACTAGTCTCTCAGTTTTAAAGCTATCGTCTTGAAATTTTGCACACACCCTTCTTTCCTTTGCACGCAGTATATAAGTCGGAACGGCCCGGATCGGCCCACTATATCCTATAGCTGCCATATAACTGATTGATCGGAAATGGTATAACTTTGGTGTTTTTAGAGTTAGAGAGTTCAAATTTGACATGAGAGCTATTTTTGGCAAAACATTACGACATGCCAGATTTCATAAGGATCGGCCGACTATATCCTATAGCTGCCATATAACTGAACGATCGGAAATGACCCAACTTCCGTGTTTTAGCAGATAGAAAACTGGAATTTAGTACAGATTCTATTTGTGGTCAGTTGATCCGACCTACCAAATTTCATTAGGATCGGCCGACTATATCCTATAGCTGTCATATAACTGAACGATCGGAAATGGTTTTTGGAAGATATACCAACTTTGGTATTGTTAAAGATAGAAGTTTGGGACTTGTTTTAAATTTTGTATTATAATAAATTGGGTTATATTATCATATTCTCATAAGGATCGGACAACAATATCCGATGCTTGCGATAAATATACGGTTTTAACTGCAAGGGTTTATCAACTTCGGCTCCGCCCGAAGTTAGCTTTGCTATCCTGTTTTGACATTTTTGTGGTATTTTAATACCCTTGCAGAGGGTATTATAATTTTGTCCAAAAGTGTGCAATGCAGTGAATGAGACATCTCCGACCCTATAAAGTATATATATTCTTGATCAGGATCACCTCCTGAGTTGATATGAGCATGTCCGTCTGTCCGTCTGTCCGTCTGTCCGTCTGTCCGTCTGTCTGTCTGTCTGTTTCTACGCGAACTAGTCTCTCAGTTTTAAAGCTATCGTCTTGAAACTTTGCACACACCCTTCTTTCCTTTGCACGCAGTATATAAGTCGGAACGACCGGGATCGGCCGACTATATCCTATAGGTGCCATATAACTGATTGATCGGAAATGGTATAACTTCGGAGTTTTTAGAGTAAGAGAGTTCAAATTTTACACGAGCGCTATTTTTGGCAAAATAATACGACATGCCAAATTTCGTAAGGATCGGCCGACTATATCCCATAGCTGTCATATAACTGAACGATCGGAAATGGTTTTTTGGAAATACCAACTTTGGTATTTTTGAAGATAGAAGCTTGAGACTTTTTTTAGATTTTGTATTGTAATAAATTGGATTATATATTCATATTCCCATAAGGATCGGCCAACTATATCCGATGTTTGCGATATATATCCGGTTTAAGCTGCAAGGGTATATAAACTTCGGCTCCGCCCGAAGTTAGTTTTCCTTTCTTGTTTTAAAATTAAATTAAGTATGGGTCGCGAACGTACAATTTTTCCATATATAATATATTTTGTTTTTTTTTTGTTGTTTACCCCTTTGTTTTTATAAATAACTAAATGTTTTCATTAAAAACATGTTTCACAAAATTTTTTTTATTTTTATTTTATTTAAGTATTGGATTTTTTTGAAAAAATCGATTTTTTTGAAAAAATCGATTTTTTTTTTTAAATGAAAGTTTCATATGTATAGAATATACGTGCCAAGGGATATTTCGATGCGACGCGTCTTGAGCTAGAGCGTGTCAAACATACCCATGATAACAAGTTTCAAAGCAAAGTTTCTAAAAACTTTAAACGCGTTTTCTCGGAACCATGTTGAAATTGTCCATGAAATTGATTTATTTTTACCAAAATTTATTCTCGTTAGGTATAAGGCATAGGAAATTCCATCAATTTTAATAAATTATATGCATTTCTAATTTAAGTTTACTACCAGCGGCCCGACACTAGACAAAGCAGAAAAATAGAGGTGGACGAGATCCGCCATTTTGAATTTCCTGAATATTGAATATATATTTTAATCGTTAATAAACAACGAATCAAAAATTCAAAAGCTTAAGTTCGTATGTCTTTTCATTTTCCCGCAATCCATTCTCAAACTTTGCTTAATTTTCGGAAAAATCCAAAAGAACCTCCCCTTAAATAACGGGTGCGTTTGTCTCTTTTATCCATCTTCAAATATTTATAAGCTTGTTAAACAAAAATAAATGTTAAAAAAAAACAAGAAAGGAAAGCTAACTTCGGGCGGAGCCGAAGTTGATATACCCTTGCAGTGAAAACCGGAATATAGAATAGAATCTGTACCAAGTTCCAGCTTTCTATCTTCAAAAACACGAAAGTTGGGTCATTTCCGATCGTTCAGTTATATGGCAGCTATAGGATATAGTCGGCCGATCTTTATGAAATTTGGTAGGTTGGATCAACTGACCAAAAATAGAATCTGTATTAAATTCCAGCTTTCTATCTTCAAAAACACGAAAGTTGGGTCATTTCCGATCGTTCAGTTATATGGCAGCTATAGGATATAGTTGGCCGATCCTTATGAAATTTGGCATGTCGTAATGTTTTGCCAAAAATAGCACTCTGTCAATTTACGCGAACTAGTTTCTCAGTTTTAAAGCTATCGACCTGAAACTTTGGACTCATTCCTTTCTTTACTTTGCACGCATTGCACCGACTATATCTTACAGCTGCAATGTAACTAAACGATCGGAAATAGTATTAGGTGTTTGGTAAAAATACCAGCTTTGATTTTTTTGAAGATAGAAGTTTAGTAAAGGAGAAGGAGACTTCTCCGACCCTATAAAGTATATATATTCTTGATCAGGATCACCTTCTGAGTTGATATGAGCACGTCCGTCTGTCTGTTTCTATGCGAACTAGTTCCTCAGTTTTAAAGCTATCGACTTTGCATACACCCTTCTTTCCTTTGCACGCAGTATATAAATCGGAACGGCCGAGATCGGCCGACTATATCCTTTAACTGCCATATAATTGATTGATCAGAAATGGTATAACTTTGGTGTTTTTAAAGTTAGAGAGTGCATGGGAGCTATTTTCGGCAGAATAATACGACATGCCAAATTTCATAAGGATCGGCCGACTATATCCTATAGCTGCCATATAACTGAACGATCGGAAATGACCCAACTTTCGTGTTTTTGAAGATAGAAAGCTGGAACTTGGTACAGATTTTAATTTTGGTCAGTTAATCCGACCTATCAAATAACGATTCATATTTAAACCGATCGGTCGACTATATTTTATAGCTGCCATATAACTGAACGATCTGAAATGGTTTTTGGTAGAAATACCAACTTTGGAATTTTTAAAGATAGAAGTTTGGGACGTTTTTTAGATTTTTTATTATAAAAAATTGGGTTTTATTATCATATACTCATCAGGATTGGCCAACAATATCCGATGTTTGCGATATATATCCGGTTTTAACTGCAAGGGTATATCAACTTTGGCTCCGCCCGAAGTTAGCTTTCCTTTCTTGTTAAAATTGATGTATACCAACTGAAATTAAAAAATTTCAGCTAACACTCACCGCATCTTTGGAATACTCATCCAAAGTTAAAATCTTCGATTTTATTCATTTATTTTTGTGCTTCTAAGATTTTTATCCATACATTTCCCTGAGGAAGAATTTTTTGGTCCTATTGAAATCAATTGATCATACAATGTTTTAATTATTTACTTCAATATAAAGTAAAAATTGGTAAATATGTGTACAGCGGAAAGTTTAGGTGATGGAACCTATGTCTGTTTTGGACTTTGCTTCAGGGAAGCCTAAAGGATATGGAGCAAGTGAAATTGTGCATTGAGATTTTTTTCTGTCGATCTGTATCATTTGTTATTGTATTATCAACAAATATCCATAGTTGTATGTTACATTCTCGAAAGCATTCGAATCAATTTGAATGTAACCTCTAATTTTCACTCAATTCGATTAAAAAGCGAATTGAAGTGAGTGAATTGATTTTGTCCGAGTAAGAATCACACAGTCGTATTTATTTATTTTCGTCTCCTCATTCTATCTTACTCAATTCATTTTCAAGGTTGTGCATTTTAATGGTGTTTCTTAGCAATGCTTTTTGTTTTTTTTTTAGCTATTAGCTACGACCTCTAGACCTCTAGAAGGAACCTGTTTTTTTTTGCATTGGTTTTGGGCAGACCAAAAGTTATTGAGCAGGTTTGTCGACATGTGATTTTGAAATAAATGAAATACTAAAGTATGTTAATTAAAAATTATTAAATTGTATTTAAATTAGTAAAATTTTTTGTAAAAGGAAATAAAACTATGAATGCCAAATTTCTTAGGGATTGTTTGAGATATCCTTTAAAAAAAAATATTTTACATTTTAATACAGTGGTGGGCAAACTCTCATTTTACATAGCACGCGAGTATAGGGTAGGAAATTCTGCCGCGGCGCTGCCGACACACTGACACACTGAGCACTCTCAAATTTTTTTTAAAAGCTCTCTCATTTGCTCTCATTTTGATTCATTTGACAGCCCAAACTAAAAATAAAAATTTTTCCACTGAGAAAAATTTTCTCAGAAATTGGATTGGAAAAACTTTCCTTCATGGAGAATATAGATAGAAATGTTGCTAGCAAAGCTTTTTTTAAAATAAAATACTCAATTTTAGTGCCCATTTCAACTTTTGAATTAACGAAAAATGAAATAAAAAAAATACGTTTTTTCGCTCAGTGAATTCTCTGCTCTCATTGTTTTTCTCTGCTACGCATACACTCAAATTTTAAACATGTGTTAGTTTTGCCCCCCACTGTTTTAATATAAGAAATAGAGTTCTCTTAAGTTAGTATAAATCAGAGAACTGCAAAAATCACTACTTTCTTGATTTAATCATACGCGAACTTTTTCAATCAACTCAACTCACTGAACGAAACACAGTGATGAGTAAAAATCAACTCATTTTGCCGTACGCATCATTCCAATCATCTTGTGTCCTCGGTTCAAAATTTCTCACTCAATTCAACTCACTGAAAAAAAACAGTGATGAGTGAAAATCAACTCATTTTGCCGTACGCATCATTCCGATCCAAAAAATGAGCAGGTGTATACGAAAGCATCAATGGGATCAACTTGAGTTGAGTGTGGATGACTAAACGATTAGCGACAAGACGACACAATGTGAGCGTTACAACTGCATGTACAATAACAATTTCTATGCCAGCTTCTTGTAGTTTAGCTTTTAGTTTGTAGCTTGTCCTTTTTTTTTGTTTTTTTTTTGTCACATTCTTCGTTTTGCTTCATATAACATTTTAGTACTTCATAATTAGTTGCATTTTGTTACTTGATGGATATGGAGGGTATTATTGAAAAAATTCGCGCAAATGAATACCAATTGGCTGCCCGACATAAGGGAAGAAGTAATATTTGGAACATATTAACAGAAATTGTTAAGGAGGATGGCGTTGTTCTGGATGGTTTTTTATATTGCCGATCTTGTCATAATCTTGTGAAATACTCACCGAAACAGACTTCAAATTTAAGCCGACACAAATGCTGCAAGTTGCTTAAAGAGTCAAAATTGTTGACTACAGCGAAACCAGAGGACAAAAAAGATGCTATTGACGCATGTGTGGAATGGGTGACACAGAACTGCCGACCCTTTTCATCAATTAATGGCAATGGATTTAGGAACATGGCAAAGTTTCTAGTCAATATTGGTGGAGGGTATAAGGAAGGAGTTGATCTTGATGACCTGCTGCCTGATGCAACGACGGTGTCTCGAGCTACGCAAAAGTTGGCGGATGCGAAAAAAAACATGATTAAAGATGAGATAGCCGAAGTTGCTAATAGTGGTGGAGCAACTGCCACAGTTGAATTGTGGACGGACAGTTACGTTCATCGCAACTTTCTTGGTGTTACCTTACACTTCCAAAAAGATTTTAAATTGGTAGATCTCATCTTAGGTGTTAAGTCAATGGACTTCGAGCGTTCAACTAGCACAAATGTTTTAAACAAGTTGAACACTTTGTTTGCTGAATTCGGCATATATAATTTGGACCAAATGAAGTTCGTTAGTGATCGAGGCACAAATATCGTCAAAGCTTTGCAGAATAATATTAGGTTAAACTGCAGCAGCCATTTGCTTGCCAACGTTTTGAAGAATTCGTTTAAGGAATCTAAAGAAGTTGATAAATTAGTGCAAAAAAATTGTCAAATATTTTAAGAAAGCTAATTTACAACATCATCTACAAACATCTGTTAAAAATCAATGCCCAACAAGATGGAATTCGAATTTCACAATGTTTAAGTCTATTGTGGACAATTGGTTCAACATTAATGAAGTTCTAATAGAAAAACAAGAAAGTCAGCGATTGTTGCTACATTGTTGTTACATATCAACCCTAAAACAATTGGTAGACTTATGTAGCGATTTCGAAATAATTTTTAAGAAGCTTCAATTCTGCAGTTCTCCATCCCTGTGTTTTGTGATACCTTCAATTGAAAAAATGAGGCATTTTGAGGCACGCACCACAAGAGGAAGATGTACCGGCACTGGTAACATTAAAAGAAAAGATATGTAATAACGTTAATGAAATTTGGATTCCAAATATTTGTGTGTGGCATAAAGCTGCTTGTTTTTTGTTTCCACCTGCGTTACGAATGCAGCCTAACGATCAAGACGCTATACGAAAATTTTGCATTTCACAAATTAAGAACTTGGACGTTCCATCAACTAGTTCTGCTCAAATTAGCCCAAGCACACCAAACGGCGATTTCTCAGAATTTTCATTTGAAAGCTCAACTTTTTCAACAAGTATCCAAGCAGACAAAGATCAGAATGTTTCTTTTTTTTTCTCCAACCTAATTAAAAAGTCCACGCTGAATAGCTTCAAAACACCTGAAGATGAGCTGGAAAGCTATTGTAAAGAAATAGTTGATATAGGAGATAACTTTGATGTTTTAAATGGTGGAAGGATAAAGATCATATAGATCACATATCCCAGACTCTCAAAATTCGCACTTAAAGTCCACTCAATTCCGGCAAGTAGTGCTGCTGCAGAGCGCGGATTTTCTTTGGCTGGAAAAAGAGGAACCGTCTTTGCCCAAAATCTGTCGACAGCATAATATTTTTAAACTCGTATTATAAAGCATTTGACCATTGATTCTGTTTTTTGATCCTTTAATATAATTTCTTAATAAATTTAAAATCAAAATTAAAACATGAAAATAAACGCTTTGTTGTAAAATCATTTTCATTGAGTTGCATTTCACCTTTTTCTTCACACATTTCATCTGTGTTTGCGTGAATGAGTAAAATCATATTTCCATGAGTAAAATCATTCGAGTTGATTTTTGTGAGTTGAGTGCTATTCTTGTTCAAAAAAATGATTGTTGAACCGAATGAGTAGCGCCCGAAATCATTATGCTGAACACGAGCCGAACAATTTGGAGTGACACAAAAAATCGCTCGCACCTGAGTGGATTTAAAATCTATAACGAAAATGTGAGCGCATGCAAGATTGATTGGCTGATCCGAACAGTGCGATTATTCGGCTGTTGAGCGCGTACGAATTTTTTTCATTCACCCGAAGCCATTCTCTGGTATAAATACGATAACTTATTACTGACTTTTTGAGCTTGTTAACAAATTTTGACTCTTGTTCAAACAATTTTGTCAAAAAAAAAAAAAAAAAAAAAAAAAAAAAATTTGCACTTTTTCAACGTTAACAGCTTTTCAAGAATATTCAATAAATATCTAATGTAAGTAAATGCTATATTTTTAAGTTTATGATATAATTTTTATGTTGCTAAATTTTAACAGCTAAAATTATGTTTTTCAGATTTACCTGCAAATGGTTTATATTTTCTGGTATATGAATATATACAAGATTTAGCAAAAGCTAAATCTGAAACTAGCCAAATTAATACAGGATCAACTATATTTGCGGGTGGAGCTGCTGGAATGGCGTATTGGGTTATAGGAATGCCAGCCGATGTATTAAAAAGTCGACTACAATCGGGTGAGAAAATATTTTATATTTTTGTTTAGTTATATATAGTTTAATTTTTTAAATATTTATTGCTGTTTCAGCCCCTGAAGGAACTTACAGACTGGGAGTCCGTAGCGTTTTCAAGGAGTTAATTGTGAAGGATGGACCAATAGCTTTATATCGCGGTGTAACACCTATAATGATTCGCGCATTTCCAGCAAATGCTGCCTGTTTTTTTGGCATTGAGCTAGCTAACAATTTCTTTAATATTGTGGCTCCAGAATTTTAAAAGAAAATTGCTTATTTTGTGAATTTAAAAGGTGTCTTTTTATGTGATAAAGTAAATTTAAATATCGATATATTTCAAAATATATTTTGCATATATAGTGTATATATTCGAAAGTCAAAATAAGGGTTCTGAACTAATACGATTGTTGGAACCGCCAAAAGTTATATATAATACATACATATATATAACTAGCTGACCTGGAAAACGTTGTTTTGCCACCAGATGACTTTATAATTTCTGTACAAAATTTACTCAGTTCTAGACATGTATTATGAAGTCATCTGGAGCGCTGTGAAGTATGAGGGAATATAAAAAGAACAAAAGGCAAACATTATTTTTAAGTTATTATTTGATCGTAATTCAGCAAGAATGAATCAAGGTCATTATAATCACAACGTTTATCACGCGATTGGCAAGTGCGCTTCCGAAACCCTCGCCGCCCATAAAGTAGATTTGTAAAAATTTATGTGGTGCGTTTATGTGGTGCAGTGAGCCCATAAACTTGTAATGTTGACCATTTGCATTAGTATTTCGAACTATTTATGTTGCTCCGAACGATGTCATTTGAAAGCATGAATTGAATGTTCGAATTGACTTCAGAAACACGTTAGAATCTGGATCCGTGCCGATAAGTAAGCCGTTCAATGGTTCAGGTGGTGCTTCAATTTCTGGAAGTTTCACTGTTCCTGACGCGCAACACATCCCAGCTGGCTCATTTTTGAATTTCAGAGAATGACAATGCGGAGATTCCTTCTCCATAGCACCAACTATCACTTTTGAGTGAGCATAATACTCAATATCAGGCTCATACTGGAATGCTAGACGCAGCCATGAATCAGATATAAATGATTGATGTATAATACCTGTTGTCGTTGTTAGTCATTTGTTCTGCCTCTATTGACTGTGAAACGGCGTGATTGTCGTTGTTCTAATCTTCTGACTTCATTGCGTTCATTGCCTGAATCTTCTGGCTCTTATTGATGCAATTGCGCTATTCTAACACGTACATCAGTATTTCGATGCTGGATTTGTTTCTTTCGGATCTTCTATTTCGCATGTTTCGAGATCTATTTTTTATGCGATTTTTGGTATGTCGAACAGGATTTAAGAGGATGAAAAATAGACGTTGGTGGGTTTTTAGACCTACTCAATACGCTCACAAAATACCATGAGAATCGGTATAGCCGTTTCGAAGGAGTATAGTATAAAAAACTGCGACATTTATATGCGATTTTTGGTATGTCGAACAGGATTTAAGAGAATGAAAAAAAGATGTTGGCGGATTTTCAGACCTACTTAATACGCTCACAAAATATCATGAGAATCGGTATAGCCGTTTCGGAGGAGTATGATAACAAAAACTGTGACACGAAAATTTGATATATATAGATGTACATATTAACAGCTTTGACAAGGGTGAAGTTAATTGTAAATGTTCTGAATCTATTTATTATTTTTTCCGCACTACCCTATGCTCTGTCTCTGTCTCTGTTTTTATTTGGTTTATTTTTGCCCTTGCTTTTAATTTTGGTAGGTGTTTTTGAAAGTGCGTATTCTCATGTTTATTATGATTTTAATTTATAATGCAGTTAAAAGGAAAGCATCTCGGAAATGCAAAGAAAACTGATTGAGGATATAGATGCGAACATCATAAAACATGGCTATTTTGTTTACTTGTGTGACGTATAAAAGAGATTGAAGTTGAATGGGTAAGGTTAGGATGGCTATACTGTGTTCGGTTACTTGTGATACCGTATGTGAATTTACTTCTCAGCCCCTTATGAGGTACACATGGTCTAGCAATTTCTCCACCCTGAGGCATATTGGTATATATTTCTGTATCCTTTTTGGATCTATATTTGGATATTTGGATAGAGGTGTCTGATTCTGTGATGTCGTGTAGGAATCTATCCCCGAGATGTGATATTCTAAGCGACTCCTGGGCTGGGCAGTGGCAAAGAAGATGCTCATCGGTTTCATCCTCCTCTTCGTGATTACAGCAGTAGCCGTGCTAATTTGGGTCCTATCCAATCTTAATAATTGGGATGTTCTTTTCTTTGAGACATTGGGACAGAGTTGGCGAAACGGTAATTTGGGATAGATTCCCAGTCCAGTTGAATTTTTCCTTTATAGGATTTCCTAAGCTGGATTTTGTATCTGGACAAAGTTGAGTTAGGCGAGATGAAGAGGCTATAGGTATACCTGTACGCTCCATTTTAGACTGGAGTGGTGTGGTTGTACCTGTGCGAGCCAGTTCGTCTGCTATGCTGTTGTCTGTGATGTCCATGTGGCCAGGGACTAATTTCATACTGAATTGCCATCTTATAAAGAAATGATCTACAGTCTGAGATTGTTTTCGAGTTGCTGTTGATCAATGTAATTGCCGCTTGGCTGTCGCTGTATATGTTAACTTTGCGGCGTGCGAGGCTAAAAGAATTTAGATGCTTTAGTGCAGGGGTGCCCAAGGTCTGCATACGGGAGCAAACTCCTATACCAATGCAAAAAATTACCATACCTTTGGTGCGAGAATTTTTTTCGCATCCATTAGGGTGCACTAAAAAATAAAATTATAGTAACATTCACAAGGGGTTTAAAAAAATTAAGATAATAAAAAATACATTATATTATAGCAATTAACAAAGCAAGTCCCTCCATTTTTTACAACAGCTTATTATTATACTATGACAAATAATGTAGAGCTTCTTACTTTAAAAAAAATGTTTCGCAAAGAAGAAATTTATCGCTTCAGGTCGAACATTTTGGCAGAAACACAAACAAGAATGAATTTCTTCATTGTGTGAAAAGTTTTCGGCACTCCAACAACAAAATTCATTCGGATTAGCACGATTGAAGAGGAAAACACGAAAAATTTTGATTGTAATTGCCCTTTGCCAATGCTGGAAGCAACGAAGCTTATGACGTAAGCAGTCTCACACAACTCCGTATGCATGAGCATTTGTAAAAACAAATGAGCAGTGAGAGCAATGGGAGGAAAACCACTGCTTTAGTGCTTCCTTTATTGCTGTTACTTCAGCCTGGAAGACGCTGCAGTGATTGGGTAGTCTAAGACACTCTGATGCCCAGTTGTTTGGAGTCATCTGTGTAGAAGCATATTGATTTTTGAGGCCGAGGGTTTGAGCATTCCATTCCTCGATTCCGGGAATGATGAGGCTTAGAGGATTTTTATGTATTCTTCTAGTCTGTGCTGCTGGGAGTTTGGGTATCATTAAGTAAAAGAGTGGAGTGTCCGGTGTTGTTCGGGTTCAACTGGTGTGTTTCTCTTAACCTGATTGCCGGCACTTTTGCTTGCTCCATACCAGCTAGTTCTGTATTTAGTAGGTTGAGTATGACGTTTAGGGATGAGTTGCGAGTGGTTCCGAGGGCGCCACTGATGCAAAGTGCTGCAGCTTTCTGAATTTTCTTCAACTTTTTTCTTTTCTTCTTTCTTCTTCTTCTCTTTCTTCTTTCGGAATTTTCTTTCTTCTTAGACGGTTTTTTTTCAGGGCTGGCAACCATACCACGACGCCATACAGTAGTATGTGTTTTACTGGCAGTGTAGATCCAGCTCACAATGTTTGGAGACATTCCAAATTTTAGACCAATGGCCTTTTTGAAGGTAAAAAAAGCTATAGCAGCTTTCTTCGACAGGGTCCGGCACTCGAAGTGTATCCAAATTTTAGACCGCTCGGGCAACTTATGTATGGGCATCAGCTGACTTTAAGTTTGCCAAATGACAGTTAAAGATCTTATTTACCAACCTAGGTAACCAACCTGTACCTAGGGCGAACGCAAAAAAAAATATTAAAAAAAAGTGAAGAGGCAACTTGAGCGAAATCCCCGACTAGCGACAATCCCCGTGCCTCAAATGAAAGAAAGAAATAAAAATATCTGACCCTATCATCCGCCGCATACTGAAAAATGATCTTGAGGTCAAGCCTCATAAGATCGTAAAGGCTCATGATCTTACACCGAAGCAAAAGCAAGTAAGACTTAAGAGAGCAAAAGAAATGCTTTGCTTGGCCGCAAGTAAACAATTACCGAACATTGTGTTTTCTGATGAGAAAATGTTTACAATAGAGCAATTTGTAAACAAAACGATAGGGTTTATTTGATTGACAGTTCGTTCGAGAATTTCAGCCAGCTATTGGTAACGAGGAGCCACCAACCCCCACAGGTAATGGTTTGGGCCGCTGTAACCCAGGATGGACGCTCTCCAATCGGTTTTGACGAGCCTGGCGTCAAGGTAAAAGCAAAATTCTATCAGGAAAGTATTCTGAAGATTTCTTTGAAGCCTCGGGAAGACAAACCATGGACATTTCAACAGGACTCAGTACCGTCTCATAAAGCCAGAGTGAACCAAGAATGGCTGGAAAACAATGTTCCGAACCTCGAATTCACCAGATGCGAATCCGCTGGATTATTCTCTTTAAGCATTTTTGGTGAGCAAGGTCCGAACTAAAAAATACAACAGTCTCGAGGCGTTGAAAAAATCCATTGGCCGTGAGTGGGCCAAAATACCTGGAAGTCACATTCGGGCTGCTTGCAATTCGTTCTTCGACCGTCTCAAGTCAAGGCACAATTTGGTCATATCAAGCAAAAATGAATTTTTCTTATATTGTAGATTTTTTTTAAACATACTGAGCCTTAAATTAAATAAAACTAACTTTCCAAACTTAATTTATAACCTTTTTAATTCGAGTTAAACTTCCATCTTATAACTAACTTCTAACTAGGAATCTAGTACCACACATAGGTGGTGGTACTAGACCCCATACCACAATGCGCTGTCGCTGAAAGTTGTCACTGGTTGTTTAATGTTGGTGGGGTGAGTGGTGTAATTTTTTACCTTCTACTGAAGAGGGCTAGATCTGTTTTTTGTGCGTTTATTCCTAGGTCTTTCCTGCGGGTAAAATTTGTCAGGGTCTACAGTTTTGCGCTCATGATGTAGCAAAGGGACTGGGCGTTTTTTCCCGTAATAATAATGGTAACGTCGTCCGAAGGCGCCACTACTTTGCAACCTCCCTCTTCCATGTTACACAGAATCGACTTTACGGCTATGTTCCATTGGAGAGGGGAAAACCTCCTTGCGGGGTTCCACTGCT